CCTCAAGTATTTCCACTTCTGAAAGGCGTCTCCCGAGTCGTACTCTTTTTCCCTTACCCGAGTTTTGTCCCAATTGGGTTTTCTCGGGGAGGTTTTTAACGAGGCGACAGAGGGGACACCTAGAGATATTTGCGAAACAAGTTTATCATATCAACCTCTCCTTACGACCTCCAGGCCGACATGATAAAGGGACTGGACTAGCTTGATCTCCAATGTATGAAAGGCTACGGCCATCTCCAATGTAGGAAAGGCTACGGCCATCTCCAATGTAGGAAAGGCTACGACCATCTCCAATGTATGAAAGGCTACGGCCATCTCCAATGTAGGAAAGGCTATGGCCATCTCCAATGTAGGAAAGGCTACGGCCATCTCCAATGTATGAAAGGCTACGGCCATCTCCAATGCATGAAAGGCTACGACCATCTCCAATGTGCGAAAAGCTAAGGCCATCAATTATATTATGGCCAAGGCCATCGCCGCCAACGGTCGACCTAGATTCGACTACGGTGAGTAAACGACTCGACGACAGTCGAAGTCGCCTACATGGCTAAGGCCATCAATTATATTATGGCTAAGGCCATCGCCGCCAACAGTCAACCTAGACTCGACTACGGCGAGTAAACGACTCGACGACAGTCGAAGTCGCCTACATGGATAAGGCCATCAATTATATTCTGGCCAAGGCCATCGCCGCCAACAGTCGACCTAGATTCGACTACGGTGAGTAAACGACTCGACGATAGTCGAAGTCGCCTACATGGCTAAGGCCATCAATTACAGTATGGCTAAGGCCACGCCGCCAACAGTCGACCTAGATTCGACTAAGGTGAGTAAACGACTCGACGACAGCCGGTCACCTACACGACTAAGGCCATCAACCGTATAGTGGCTGAGGCCGTCGACGCCGATAAGTCGACCCAGCTCGACTATAACAGCGTGTAACTCGAAGATAGTCGAAGTTGCGCACACGGCTAAAACCATCAACAAAGCTAAGGCAGAAAATAAAAGATACAGAGAGAAAAGAACAGAAAAGTATAACTTCCATTATCATCCAAAAATGCATGTACAAAAAGGACCCATTTACATTTCCGAGTACAGCAAAACAAAATAAATACAAGTCCTAAGGGGCTTCGGCATCCTGATCACCGCCTCCCGACGGATCGCCATCTCGTCCACCGCCGTCCTCTGCCCGATAGGCCGTAGAGATCCAAGAGCCGGATTCTAGACGGTTGACATCTTCGGAGTTATAGCCCGCCCGGTCTGGGGAATCAGAACTATACCCATAAGTTTCACGAGCGACACGGACTATGCGTCGTTGCTCTTGAACCTCCGCCTCGGTGGCTCGACCCGCAGCTAAAAACTCCTCGAAGACGACCAATCTGGCCTCGGCGTATACCCACATATCATGCGCCTTACGACGCGCATCCTCATCAGGCCTTGACGCAGCAGTCCGCTTGAGGACTTTAATCTCAGTCGCCTTGGCATCGAGTTCGGAGGTCATGGCGGCAACCTTGATCCGCAAATCAGCAGCTTCCGCCTCTACCCCACGGCCAACCTCCAACTCTTCTTCTTTAGACTGGAGAAGAGTCTCCAGCTCAATATTCCGGGCCAGGGCGGCCATCAGCTGCTCATCGATCTGCTCTAACTCGGCCACCCTCCGTTTCAGCTGGGCCCCCGACTGCTCCAGACCCTCACGGAAAACCCGAAATTCCGGGTCCTGCTTGAGTAGGTCCGCCAGCGCTTGATGCTTGACTCGGCACTGCCGATATTTCTTTACCACCTTGTTAAAGGTGGCTGCCTTCCTTTGCGCTCGCCGCCCCCTCTCTATCTCCAAAATGAGAGTCTAAAAAAAAGAGGAAAAGGATGAAAGGCAAGTCAGCATGCATCAAAATTTATTTTACGATGCATGAAGAGAATCGAAAAATACCTGTAAGACCGCACCGGCAACCCTCCGGGATAGTTCCCCGTCGCTAACCCCTTGTAACGTTTCACGCTCAGCGGCCGCACATAGCAGGGTCATATCCGCTGCGGCCTGCTCGCTGTGTTGCAACAGGTTATACCCCCCCGGGATCAGAATTCGACGGTTGGATCTACCTACCGTCATCCCTACACGGGCCGGACCCTGCGTTGATGCTTCTGCATCTGCCTGGGAAACCTCAGAGCTCGCCCTCTCGGCATCATCGTCCGCCTTTCCAACGGTAGCCGACGAGCCGCTCTCCGGAATGCGTGTTGGCCTGGCGTCGAGAACCGCCCCCCTTTAGGGAGCCGACCTCCCGGAACGGATGGCATCCGCCATAAAAACTGGCCTTGACTCTCGATGGGGCTCGCTCGCCCCCTCATCTGCCGTGGCTATCCCCTTGCCGGTTATCAACCGACGTCTTTTTCTTTCCGGCGTCTCCTCGCTCTGAGAAGTCTCCTCCGCAGCCTGAACGGATGGCATCGAAGGAATCGCTCCCCTCGCGGACGCCGCCACAGGCAGCGGTTGAGGAACCTCTGTAGCGTCATCACTGGGCGAACCGCAGGGTATGTATCCATCTTCAGAATCGGTCCCCGCCCCAGGTAAGATGACGACGCTCTTTTTCTTCTTCTTAGGGGCGCTCCGACCTGCCAACGCGAATAAGTCAGGTAACAAATACGTAGGGAATCCCCAAAACCATAGCCAAAGAATTACCTGATGGGCCGTACTGTCGAAAAAATGCAGCCCAGGTACGACACTCCTCCGCATAGGGTATTATTCTTTCCACCCACGATTTAATGTCATCAACGAGCTGGGGTGGAGAAGCCCTCGCTGCGAATAAAAAAGAGAAGAAAGAAAAACAAAGGTCACAATGGCCGTATGGTCGAAAGCGCAAGCAGCACTGAAATCTACAAGTAGAAATACTTACGTTCTGGATTCCATCTTTCCGGGAACCCCTCGGGATTCGACACCAGGTGCTCCGTCCTGATGTAGAAATACTTACGCCAAAAGCGGTGGTTGGGCTTATCATCGGCTTTAACGACCAAGCCCTTTGTGCCACGACCTTTCAACTGCAGTATGGTACCCCTCAGGTAACCAGCGCTGAACAACTGTAAGAGGTGGTGGACCGAGACGCTGCACCCAGCCCTGGCCGCATAAGTGGTCATGATACGGCACACCTTCAAAGTATAAGGAGTGAGCTGGGCCGGAAACACATTGTAAAAACGGCAAAGCTCCTCCACCAGAGGGTAGACTGGAAGGTCGTAACCGATCAAGAACGGGTACTCATAGAAGGTGCAATATCCAGGCCGGTGCACATTGGCATAATCCGTCCCGGCCGGAACCATTTCCACGCGGTCCGGAATATGGTGCGTCTCTCGCAGATCATCTAAATGGGATTGTAGTAAAATGATGTGCTCCCAGGGAAGATCAGGGCTTTTAGTTGGAAAATCCCTGCGAACGTGCGTCTCCTTCGGAAGGACATTGTCTACGCTGAGAGGAACAAGGGCCTTCTCCGCCTTTTCCCCTTCGCCACCAGAAGATGGCGGAACCCTAGACGGGGCATTATCTTTGGCCTTTTTATTATTCTGTCCGCGTTTTGTCATGATTATACTACTTGAGAAATGAAGCACTGACGATAGGAAGTGTGGTTTCAACAGAAGTGGGAGAGTCCCTCACGAAATAACGGTTACAGGAAAGAAAGGCAAAGGAGTGTATCAGAAAATACTTTTCAGAGGCTTGAAAGTGGAATCAGATCAAACCTCTCTCATACTTATAAGGATAAGTTGCACAGGAATCGAAGAGTCATGATTCAAAACATGCGCCGGAAACCAAAACGTCACTTCATCCTCTGAACCGCCTCGGGGGCAAATATAATGATGATGCATACAGGCGATGACATCATTCCAAAAAGGAAGCCACGCGTCAGCTGCTCAACAACGACATATATTTCACTTCATTCATATTGCCGCCCCTGGTCGAGGTCAAATTCTCCTAAGCCGAGGTTCGTATTTCCGCCCGTCGAAGACGCCCACCGAACGCATCTCCAACGAGCGGAGGGACTAACTGTATAGGGTCAAATTTGACCCTCAGTATCTCTACGCCAGTGGATACGCCCAATGAGTGTACGCCAACCAACGTAGCGGGTACGACTCGGCCGTGAGGACAAAAGCGACATCGTTTAGAACTCAGCGTCTACACTAGGGAGACGCTACCTATCTTTGTAACTTTTTGATTCTTTCGAGGAAGGTCTCCTATTATATAAAGGAGACCTCCACATTGTAAAAAGGGGATCTGATCTAACACAACTCTCTCATTTTTCTGGCTTTCTCTTTCTATATCTCTACTTCTAACGAAAATATCTTATTGGTAAACATTTTCACTTTGCAATATTAGATTTACAACAATATTATCATCTTGGCATCTCTAGGCTTATTATATTTGATTACGATTTACCCCTCTTCTATTTTTTATTGTTTTATCGCTTACAAAGTATATCGTTAACAACCATATTATTCTATATATTAGGAAAAGACTAGCACTGAATGCCGTGTTTCAACTACTTTTGACAGGGAAACTGTAGTAATGGATAGCTCATAGAGTCGAATAATCATATATTCATATTGGAGTGTCCTGCCCAACTTGCATTTACTTTGATTTGAGATATTGGCTCGTGACCATCCCTTGGACTCTAGTCAATGCGCTGGCACACCATTTTTGTCATTTTTGTTGTAAGATTATCATCTTTCTTTTCTTATTTCCCTCTTTTGGTTTGTTCTCTTTATTTATGACTTCTCAGTACCTAACCTTTAAACACTTATGAAAATAAATAATTACCTTACCATTGAAACCTACAAAAAACCATTAGTTATAGCCAATATTAAGGTGTATCAAAGTGAAATTGCTTCTTTACTCACAATTCTCTCCAACTTGACCTTCTCAGGAAAAGAATAAACTGAACTCAACTTCCAGGACATTTCTGCCCCATGTTCCACTTCTAGAAAAAAAGTTGACTGAATGTAATGTGAATGCATATTTTGAGTTTACTATTTATTTGGTGGTCAGGCAGCTTGATATTTTTAATATACTCCTAGGTTTTGAGTAGGTGTAGTTCTTTGCTTTCTTTTCCTGTGTGGGGGCACAGGCAACTTGTTCTCTAACATGGGACATCCTAGATTAGAGGCCTACTTGGTATTTTCTTACAGATTCATAGAATGCAAGTCATTTTCCTTAGTTTTTACGACTAGTTGACTTCTATTGAAAGCAGTGAATAAAGATTCTAGAGTAAGTGTATAAAGTCTTCAGTTTCTGCTTAAGTTTTTTCATTGAGTTTTTGAACCAACAATGTCAAAAACAGTTGTATATGCATTAGCCATATTTTCCTTTACCTTTTTCATACCTTTGTCATATGGCCAAACTCCAAGCTTGGAAGTTGAAGTTGCTGCTTTGAAAGCTTTCAAGAACTCAATTTCTGATGACCCTTTTGGTGCACTTGTGGATTGGACTGATGCAAATCACCATTGCAACTGGTCTGGAATTACATGTGATCCTTCTTCAAACCATGTCATCAACATTACGCTGTTTGAGACGCAGCTCAAAGGCGAAATCTCTCCATTTCTGGGAAACCTCTCCAAACTCCAGGTTCTTGATCTAACTTTGAATTCATTTATTGGAAATATTCCACCTCAGCTGGGGCATTGCACAGAGCTGGTTGAGCTCATTCTTTATCAAAATTCTCTTTCTGGTGAAATTCCTGCTGAACTTGGAAACGTCAAAAACCTGCAGTTAATAGATTTTGGAAATAACTTTCTGAATGGGAGTATACCTGAGAGTATATGCAACTGCACTGAATTGTTGTTAGTAAGCCTCATCAACAACAGTTTCACAGGCAAATTACCGTCTGATATTGGTAATTTGGCTAATCTTCAGTTGTTTGTAGCTTATGAAAACAATTTCACTGGTTCTATTCCTACCTCCATTAGAAAGTTAACAGCTTTGCAAACCCTTGACCTGAGCGAGAACCAATTGTCTGGGCCTATACCACCAGAAATTGGCAACTTGTCAAGTTTAGAAATTCTTCAGTTGCATCTCAACTTTCTTTCTGGTAAAATTCCATCTGAACTTGGCCTCTGTACCAATCTTGTTACCTTGAACATGTATACTAATCAATTCACCGGAAGCATACCTCCAGAGCTTGGAAATTTAGAAAACTTGCAAACGCTCAGATTGTATAACAATCAGTTGAACTCCAGTATCCCAGCCTCATTGTTCCACCTGAAGTCATTAGCTCGTTTAGGACTCTCACAGAATGAGCTAACTGGTCAAATTCCTCCCGAGTTAGGATCTTCAACGTCACTACAAGTGCTTACCCTCCACTCAAATAGCTTGTCTGGGGAGATTCCATCAACTATAACAAAACTGACAAACTTGACATATTTGTCTTTGAGCTTCAATTTATTGACTGGATCACTTCCATCAGAATTTGGGTTGCTCTATAATCTGAAGAATCTAACTGCAAGTGACAACCTCCTAGAGGGATCTATTCCATCTAGCATAACAAATTGTTCACATCTTCTAGTTTTGACCCTCTCTTATAATAGAATAACGGGGAAAATACCCAATGGATTGGGGCAGTTGTCCAATCTTACATTTTTGTCTTTGGGATCAAACAAAATGGTGGGGGAGATTCCTGACGATTTCTTCAACTGCTCAATGCTTGAGGTTCTAGATCTGAGTGGTAACAATTTCAGCGGGGAACTCAAACCGATGATTGGCAGACTTTCTAAACTTCGAGTTCTAAGAGCCCGTACTAATTCATTTCTCGGGCCAATCCCACCAGAGATTGGTAAACTGAGTCAACTGATGGATTTAGTGCTTCACGAAAACAGTTTCTCAGGTGTGATACCACCAGAAATTTCAATGCTTTCAGACCTCCAGGGTCTTTCGCTGTCTGACAACAAGCTGGAAGGTAAACTTCCGGTGCAACTTTTTGAGCTTAAAAATCTCAATGAACTCCGGCTGCAGAACAATAATTTCTTCGGTCCAATACCTCACCAGATATCCAAACTGGAGTTACTCTCGTTGCTGGATCTGAGCGGAAATAAGCTTAATGGTACAATCCCAGAGAGCATGGCGAGCCTCCGCAGACTGATGACCTTAGATCTTTCACACAACCTTCTCACCGGATCTCTTCCTCGAGCAGTACTCGCCAGCATGAGAAGTATGCAATTTTACTTGAACGTTTCCAGCAACTTTTTGGACGGAACGATCCCAGATGAGATTGGCGTGTTAGAAATGGTTCAAGAGATTGATATGTCAAACAACAATCTATCAGGCAGCATTCCCAGATCCTTTGGACAATGCAAAAACTTATTCTCACTGGACCTATCAGGAAACATGCTCTCTGCTCCTGCTCCAGGTGCAATTCTCACCAAATTAAGTGAGCTTGTGTTTTTGAATCTCTCAAGGAACAGATTAGAAAGCGAACTTCCTGAAATGGAAGGATTGCCACATCTTCGCTCTGTTGATCTTTCACATAACAAGTTCAAGGGAATCATTCCAGAGAGATTTGCCAGTATGCCTGCATTGAAATATCTCAACCTTTCTTTCAACCAACTTGAAGGTCACATTCCAAAGGGGGGTGTATTCAACAATATAAAGTTGGCAGATTTAGTGGGAAATCCATCTCTATGTGGAACTAAGTTTCTCAGGCCTTGCAGCACCAAAAGCATCCGAACAGGTACTCACGGTTTTTCCAAGAAAACCTTGATCATTCTTGCAGCACTTGGATCTGCTTTTGGTCTCATTCTTCTCGTGTTGGGAATCTTTTTTCTTCATCAGTACACGAAGAAGCAAAAGGTGAAAGACACGGAGGATATGATTCCAAAGTATACCTCAGCACTGAGCCTCGAGAGATTTTATCAAAAGGATTTGGAACTTGCTACTGATAATTTCAGTCCAGAAAATATTATTGGAGCCAGCAGTTTAAGTACTGTGTACAAGGGTAGACTGGAAGATGGAAAGATTGTAGCAGTTAAGAAACTGAATCACCGGTTCGCAGCAGAAGCTGATAAATGCTTTGACAGGGAAGTCAAGACTCTGAGCCAACTCAGACACAGGAACCTGGTTAAGGTGCTCGGTTATGCTTGGGAAAGCAAGAAGCTAAAGGCTTTAGTTTTAGAATACATGGAGAAAGGGAACTTGGACAATATTATTTATGATCAAATGGTGGACGACTGGACATTGTCCAATAGGATTGATATTTTAGTTTCGGTTGCTAGTGGTTTGTCATACCTGCATTCAGGCTATGATTTTCCAATAGTGCACTGTGACTTGAAGCCTTCAAATATTCTTCTGGATGAAAATATGGAAGCACATGTCAGTGACTTTGGGACAGCTAGGATGTTGGGTATTCATCTCCAGGATGGGAGCAGCATATCATCAGCATCCGCATTTGAAGGAACTATTGGTTACTTGGCGCCAGGTAATCTTTCTTACAAATTCTTAACCCATAGTTTGTCTGGATTCTATTGTTAACATTAACATGAACAAAAGAGTGCTATCAACAAACAGCTTATATGGGGATCACAATCCATATTTTGGTCAATGAGTAATGTTTACGTATTCTATTTTAGTATCATTCAGTAGCAACAACATCATTTATTTCAATCACAATATACAGCTTAGCAGAATTTTTTTTTTTTGCCTGTCAATCACAAAATACTGATCAACTCATATATGGAAGAATGGACGAGCATGTAAATAATGTGATATTTTGAACATAAAATCTGCTAATCTGCAAAGTACTTTTAATGCTAATGTCAGCTTTAATCTTACCAAAAGAAAGTTAATTTTGAATTTGTTGGACATTTTACATGCTCCTTATTTTATTTGACACCTTACTTACATGAAATATTCTGCTATATAACAGAGTTTGCATATATGAGGAAAGTGACTACAAAAGTAGATGTATTCAGCTATGGTGTAATAGTGATGGAGATCATTACAAAAAGAAGGCCAACAGGTTTTACAGGAGCAGATGAATTACCAATGACTTTGCATCAAATTGTTCAGAACGCCGTTGCAAATGGCATAAACGAGCTAGTCCAGATTGTGGATCCTAATCTAACTTCATATGTCTCCAAGAAACAGGATGTAGTAGAGGGACTTCTTAAATTGGCTTTGTCCTGCACCTCTCCTGATCCTGAAGACAGACCTGACATGGAACAAGTTCTGTCTTCTCTTTCAAAGTTAAGTAAGATGGAATGCATGAATTCACATGCTTGTTTGGTAAAAGATGCAATTTGATGTAGACGAAGCTGGAATTTCAACAATATTAATGTGAACCACCACCAAGTTTCCCTTAGCGGCCAATGGAACTAGTCCATAACTTAAAAAGTCTTTACCATTATAACAGAGTTTACGTCTTTCTAGACAAAAATGTTTTCCCGATTATTCCTGCTTTACAAGAAAGATATAGTTGAGCTCTCATGTTAGATTCGAACAGCATATTCAAGAATATTTCAGCTCAAAAAACAACAAAGGAGCAAAAAGCTAGATCTTTACAAAGTGACATGTAATAGAGAGTTAGCGAGCAGTCAATTGCAACACCATAGTGCCAACGAATTCTTTCACTAAAAGATTCTGTACAGGATATGAGTATACTTTTTTGAAACACAAATATCTAGAAGTGAAATTAAGCAAAACTCAATAAAGGCCTTCAATAAGCCTACAATCATCCATCACATTCTATTCTACCATAAAATACAATTTCTTGAAATTTATTTACTAGAGAGGGAAGACGCAACCTCATCTATCGGTGGATCATTATGCAAGAACTCATCAACAGTAGAGGGAAATTCAAAGCTTCCAACACCATCGAAAACCTCCGAATGAATAAGAGCAGCTTTGCCTAAAAGCAAATGAGCCAACCTGAATGATTCTCTTCTCTCTCCACTATTATTACTATTCAAAAAATGCTCAATCCAACCTTCTAATCTTTCTACTTCTTTTTCACTTTTTGGGCCCTTAACCCCAACAATCTTCCCATAAAATGCATCATCACAGCCCAAATCCACTTCCACCCTTTTTGAACCTTCCCTTTTACTATCAGATAAACCCAATAGCTGCATCAACAGTTCAATCTCATCAACCCCATTACCTTCAGCTTCAATTTTATCAACTGATCTTTCTTGAACTTGTGTAGGGTTTATCTGAGATGGGGTTTGTTGGGGAAGTGGGAAAAGAGGGGAATTTGAGAGAAATTGAAGAGGGGTTTCACTCTCTTTAAGGTTTGTGTTGCTGGTGTTGGAGGTCTCATCACAGTTAAGGTATAACGGGCTGATAAAAGACTCGGTCTCAGGTGTTTCAGTAGTTTCTTGTTGAGTTGGGTTGTCAAGTTTCAATCTTTTCTCCAATTGTTTGAGAGAAGAGAAGAAAATGGAATGTGGCGAAGGCCTTCGCATTTTTTGTAGGAATCAGAATGAATATTGGGGTTTAGGGTTTTAGTTATGGGTAACAGGGGAGAAAAGAGCGCCAACTGCTGAAATCCACAGTTGAATCAAACAGTTGTTTATTTCCTGAAGCTTTGGCTAGACTATTAACTATCGGTTGAAGAAATCACCCTTAGAATGTAACGGACGTTATTTTACTCTTTTTCTTATGATCCAACAGTTTAACATTGATATGAAATATGGTATTTTATTGGGTATAAATATTCTTCCCAAAATAGTGAAAGAGGAGGATAGAGAAAGAGAGAACTTCACCACCAAACACTTAACTATGAATGTGAAATTCTTTTAGTGGTATTTCAGTAGGTATGATCAAACATAAGAGAATAGCAATCCAGATGGATTAACAAAAATAATTATGAGATAAAAAATTTAATACCGCCTTATTTCTTGTTTGGTTATTAATCCTGGGATAGGTTATTTGTAAGGCCCCGAAAAAAAATTCTAATGATTTAAGACTTTATAGTGCACCAACGATAATTGGGAATAATATTTTTGAGTACTTAATGAGATCTATGGGATAGAACCACATTATTTTGACATGAAAATACATATGAAAAGTGTTTCGGATCACATTAAAGAGGTTTATAAGTGGGAAGAAGTTGCTTGGAACAAATATTAAGTGGAAAAGATGTCCAAATTTGCACTACACTTGACTTTGAACGGGTATAACTCTCATAATATAAAGATATTTTCAATAAAGGTTGCCCCTAAAGCGTAGCCCTTCGAGTCTAGTTTCAAACTCATCAAACCGTTCATCGTTTGGACATTCCTACTAAAAGTTATGATCAAATTACTAAAGTCAGACCACCCAGTTATTTTGGCAGACAGCGAAGCAAGGCCCGCTTCGCCAGACCGGGCAGAGATCCTGTCTACCCTCGCATGCAGTGGACGGCGAAGTGAGGCTCACTTCACCAAACTGGGCGCGCCCCAGCTTAAGGTACTTTGAAGTCATTTCGGGGGCTTATTTCCCCATTTCACTTGGACGAATTTTGGAGCTTTCGTCCACTCTCTCAAGGACCCCAACTCCTCCCATATTCAAGGTAAGCAATCCCTGTTATCTTGGTGTGAATCTTATCATATTCACACTAGAACTAACTCAATCCACCATGAAATCCTTAGATTTTCAAGAAATTTCTTCAAGAACTCAAAAGAGGGTTTTGCAAGATTTCTTTCAAAAGGTAATCCTACACCCTTAGACTTACATGCATGAATTTGTTATAGGAATATGAGTAAGGATTAAGTATTGGAACGTATGGGATGGTGATTGGAAGCCATAAGTTCCCAATTTAAATACTTAGCCATTATAGAGAATTAGAGATTTGAAGAGTGATTATTTGATGGAATTTTATTGGTTGGGTGTGGATGGTTCGTCACGCCTGTGACGTTGGAAGTTATAAATTGTTTAAGAATGATGGTGGGATAAATTATTGGTAAATGGTGGTAGTTGGATGAACTAGTTCTATGGATAAGAAATGTAGAGATTTATGCCTACTAGGTGTTTGATAAGGTGCTTAAATGAGCTAAATTGTGGAATTTGTTACTAATATTGGCCCCATTGGATGTTGTTATCGTAGATTGAAGTTGCTTAGTGTAGTAGATCATTGTAGTATCGTTATGAGGAGGATTTAAGGTATGTTGGATAAACTTCTCTCGTAGAATCGAATTCCATGATGTCCTCGTATGTTTCAAGCGTGGTTGGCCCAAGTTCTTACTTTCTCATGATCCGGGTCATTCCTAGTATTTCACTTATTCCAAATAAGCATTGTGTCGGAAATTATATGCTCAAAATGTGTTTCAATTGCTCCTATCACATTATGCGCTCCTTCGGGAATGTATTCAAGTATGGTTTATGTATCAAAACGTTATGACTTCAATTCATGTTTCAAATGCGAGTTTATGATGTTTTAATAAAGAATACTCAATGTGCTTAAGACTCCTATTGCTCATATACATATTTAAAGTCTTGATTCCAAATGCTCTTATTGTTAATAACCTATGATGATGCTGGAAAGTGATAAGAAAGAGTCTGAGACATAAAATGTGGCCATCGTGCCAAAGAATGAAAACTACACTTGTGACCAATAGTGTCAATGAAATAAAAAGAAAGTGTGAAAGATTATGAAATGAGTTGTAACTCCTTTATATAATAAATATTTTGGGAGCATCATTTAGTCACCGAGGACGGGTAGGTTAAAATAACCTAAACCCGAAACTACACGTATCAGTGTAGGAGCGATTGGGGGATAAATCCCCGGACTGATGTGTTGAGATTATTCCCTTTAATTGGGATGAGATTGATGTGTTGAGATTATTTCCCTTAATTGGGATGAGATGATTTCTAGCGGAAGGTGATGTCGACCCATGCGATATCGTGGTGAGACGGCTTAGCTGATCGGGTCGAGATCGGACGCCATATCGCGCACATGGCGGTATTGTGATTAGATGTCTTGGGGTGAGACGGTTTAGCCGATCGGGCCGAGATCTGACTCCGTGCTAAAAGCATGGTGGTGTTGTGCTTGGATGTCTTTGGGTGAGACCGCTTAGCCGTTCGGGCCGAGATCGAATTCTGTGCTAAAAAACACGATGGTATATCGGTGCTAAAGATCTCCCAACTTAAAAATAATGATATTTACTCGAAAACTTATCTTTCTCTTAATTTGATGCTTAATATTATTTGAGGCTCTCATTGATTCCATGCCCTTTCTCCTTGTACTGTTAATCGATTCATCGAGAGGGTGTTTAGTTTTACATACTAGTACTATTCCGTATGTACTAACGTCCCTATTCCCCGGGGCGCTGCATCTTTAATGGATGCAGATGGTTCGACAGCAGGCGGCATCAATCAGTGATAGTGGTACACTCTCTTCTCAGCTAACTTGGTGAGCCCCACTTCATATCGGGGTCTTATATATTCTGTTCCTTATATATGGTGTTTTGAGGTATAGCCGGGGCCTTGTTGCCGGGACCATTATATTACACTTTTGTATCCATTAGAGGTTCCTTAGACATAGTGTGGGTTGTATTTTGATTTGGGTAAGTCAAACTTGAAACGTTGTACTGGTAACACATGTTTCCACTTCTAAAACTACGCACGTGTAATATATTACCTTGGGAATTGTAAATGAAGTAACTAATGGTAATGAAATTGGTGTGTTATGAAATCCTCTCATTGTCTAACAGATGGCATGCATTTTCACTTTATTTATGGGTAAGGTCGGGTAGAAGGCATCAAGTAGGCTTGCTTGACTGAGATATCTCGGTTGAGCGCCGATCGCGCCTCAAGGTCGGGCGTGACATTATTCTAGGATTGAGAAAGCAGTGGGATAACTTATACTTGCCTGAGAGTGGAATAGCAATTCCGGGACAAGTTATCTCGGGATAAAACAATAAAATTGAAATCCCACGATTAATACAACATACCAAACAGTCAATAAGAAATAATACCAAGATAACTAATTCCAGCATAACTAATCATAGTATAACTAATCTCAGCATAATTAATTCCAACATAACTTGTCTTCGAACCAAACCACCCCTAAATATGTTAGACACGACTTGCCCCAGGTCCTTGTCCTTTAACACAATTATCGTTCTTTAACCGGTGGATCACAATTTGATAGCATTGGCATTTCATGCCCATTTGGCAAACTCCAATACCACTAACCACGAGTCTTTTTCTTCTTTTGGGTCTGAAAAATCTCTCGCACAATTTTAAATTTTCCAAACCGGAGTAGGCACGTATGATAGTGTCGGTTTGTGAAATATGAACATGGTCTGAATATAGAGTAACTCATAACACCGTTTAGTTCCAAACCGGACCACTTGTATGAATCGTAGAGAATACGTCTTCACAACCATGGG